ATTGAAGGTCATACCTTTAAGCTGGGGGGACTTTTGAGTAAATAACTCTGTGTAAGTTCCTTAATGGTTTATTTGGTGTCTTTTGGAACTATATCTGAAGAGGATTAAAAACCCAGGTAAAGTGGTAGCACCAGCTCTGGTATGGCTTCCAGCCTCCTAAAAATACATAACTAACCATTTGTTGACACTTGACATTCCCCAAGTCACCTCTTCTTCTGTGATAGTACGCATTCCTGATCCTGATGATGAGGTTTTCAGGCTAAAAAAAGTACTTTAATTCCATCATGTTTTGCTATTTAATAGAAATAAAATCAGATAAATGATGATCACTGTGATGACATAAAAATACTTTCACAAAAATTTTCATATTATTATCTCCATTTTTCAGAAAAACTTTGATTTAGAGCATTTAGAAATAACTTTTTCATCATTACATAACTGAATGAGAATTTAAGCCTAGAGAGGAATCTGTTCATTAAACTAAAGCAAATGAAAACATAAAATGAATTAATACCTGAATTTGAGGGAGTCAGTAGTTGTATGGCAATGCCTATATATTAGAATACAAACCTTCACTTGAATGGGGTTTGTTTTTAGGGAGATAGTTTTTTTTTGTTTTTGTTTAATATATAGTATAGATGCCATTGTCTGTTGCTGAGGTTAACGATTTCATTCAATTTAGGTACCAGCAGTGATACTTAAGTGGTACAAGAAGAGAGGTTAGAACAAAAGTGTGAAGAAAAGATTATTATAGAGAAAAGGAAGATGATTAAGTGAAGAAGCAAGAGTAATTTTAGAAGGTATGGCAGCTTCTGATAAAGTATGTGTATACAGTTTCTCACCAGGTACTAAAGGTTAGTTTCCTTCTTAACTTGGAAGTTCCTCTAGAAGGGATTTATGGCAGCGTCATTCTCAGAATGCTTTCCCTTTAATCTGATAAAGGGAATTTCGGAAAAGGCTTCTTTCTACATCTTGTTGTATCTTAGGTGTCTGTGGTTTAAGGTCATCTTCATGCCACTCTGGTAGGTTGTGCATCCTTTCATTTGGGACTGCTCATAGCTTATTAAATCTCTAACAAGAAAAGCTGTTCAACTCCTGTCTCTGAACTCAGAGGACATGGGGCCCAGACCTCTGCAAATGAAGCATCAGCTTTCTGGTGCCTTTGGAGAGAGGGCACAACGAAGCTTAGGTAGGAAATGCTAGAAAACTGCAAAGTGGATTTGACTGTTGCTATGGGAAGGACCTGCCACTGCCAGAATGAAGCAACATACTGAAGTGATACAAGAACCACAGGCACATGGAAAAGGCACAGGAAGCAGACAGGAGGAGCTTTCTTCCTGCTTTCTTCCTCCCCCAGCCATGCAGTCTGTTGGTAGAGGCTTAAGGGAGTCAGTTGGCAAAACAAACTGGTCAGTGAAGTCCCAGCTCTAGTATCACTAGGCAGAACATGGAAGGTGAATGTGAAACTGAGGGACAGTAATAGCATCAACTTCTTGGAAACCAGACGTGCTCACACCTCTGCTCCACCCCCAGACCTGATACTCAAACTCCAGGGATACTGCTCAACAATTGATGTGTTAACAACCAAACTAGAACATTGTGCATCCAGATTCTTCATTTGCTGATTTTCAGTCTTGCCAATGACTGGTTCTTTAAGAATAGATTCTCAGAAGCAGTACTTTCTTTAACATGATTCCCTTTATGCCTCTAGGCAGTTGGGAATTGGCAAAAGTTAGAAACAAATTCACATTACTATTAATATAAGACTTTGGTTTCTTTGTGGATTAAATAGAAGTGATACTCCTACTTAGGGTTTTTATTTTTTTGTTGTAATAACCAGATTTATCTAATGGAGCAATAAAATGTGAAAACTGAGTATTCTTCTATAGCTCAATGTTGTAATAAAAAGTATAAAGTGAGATGCTAAGTTATATTAATTATAATGCAATTATTTTGGCTTTAGGTAGAATTTAAGCATGATAGCTATTGTTGCTGTTGTTGTTCAGTAGCTAAGTCGTGTCTGACTCTTTGCAACTCCATGAACTGCAGCATGCCAGGTGTTCCTGTCCTTCACTGTCTCCCTGAGTTTGCTCAAATTACGTCCACGGAATCAGTAACCATCTCATCATCCTCTGTTGCTCCCTTCTCTTGCCCTCAATCTTTCCCAGCATCAGGGTCATTTCCAGTGAGTTGGCTCTTCACATCAGGTGGCTAAAAGATTCAGCATTAGTCCTTCCGAAGAATGTTCACAGTTGATTTCCTTTAGGATTGAGTAGTTTGATCTCACTGTCCAAGGGACTCTCAAGTCTTCTCCAACACCACAGTTTGAAAGCATCAATTCTTCAGTGCTCAACCTTCTTTATGGTACAACTCTCACATCCATACATGACTACTGGAAAAACCATAGCTTTGACTATCTGGACCTTTGTTGGCAAGTTGATGTCTTTACTTTTTAATACACTGTCTAGGTTTGTTATAACTATACTTCCCAAGGAGCAAGCATCTTTTAATTTTATGGCTGCAGTCACCATCCACATTGATTATGGAGCCCAAGTAAATGAAATCTGATACTGGTTCCCCATTTTCCCCACCTATTTGCCATGAAATGACAGGACCAGATGCCATGGTCATCATTTTTTGAGTGTTGAGTATTAAGCCAGCCTTTTCACTCTCCTCTTTCACCTTCATCAAGAGGCTCTTTAGTTCCTCTTCACTTTCTGCCCTTAAAGTGGTATCATCTGCATATCTGAGGTTGATGATAGCTGTGCTATGCTTAGTCGCTCAGTCGCATCCAACTCTTTTGAGACTCGGTGGACTGTAGCCTGTGAGGTCCTGTGTCCGTGGAGATTCTCTAGGCAAGAATGCTGGAATGGGTCGCCACGCCCTCCTCTAGGGGATCTTCCCAACCCAGGGATCAAACCCAGGTCTCGCATTGCAGGCAGATTCTTTACTGTCTGACTCACCAGGGAAGCCCTGATGATAGCTATTAGCCATAAATAATTAATCAGCATATTTTCAGACATCTGAGCCAGTTTTTCTTAAAGTGATTCACTCCCCCCAGGCATTAGTGTCAACTATGTCTTAGAGAGGAAAGTTTAACCTTCACTGTGAGCAAGTGTACACTCAGACTCAAAGCTAAATTGATACTTTATGTCCTTTCTCCCTTCCTACCCATCCAGTTCTTCTACTCCTGCCCCATCACTGTCAAGACCTAACAGTGACTTGACATTGTAAACCTGGTGCTCAAGAGCTGAATTAATGGTAGGGACCTATTCATTCTTTCACTAAACTTAATTACAGAGTTCATGAGTTTTAAGCACTAGGTAAACATCAGTGAACAAAGCAAGGTTTCTACATCTGGAGCTTATATTCAAATAGGTAAGAGACAAATGGCTCCCCTGGTGGCTCAGTGGTCAAGACTCCGCCTGCCAAGCCAGGAGATGCATTTCCATCCCCATGTCGGGAAGATCCCCTGGAAAAGGAAATGGCAACCCACTCCAGTATTCTTGCCTGAGAAATCCCATGGACAGAGGAGCCTAGCAGGCAACAGTCCATGGGGTTGCATAAGAGTCGGACATGACTTAGCAACTAAATGAGATACAAATAATGAATAAAATATATATAAAAAGTGGTAAATGTTATTAAGAAAAATACAGTAGTACAAGGAGAAAGAGAATGATTGGCCTGCTGTGTTGTGCATAAATTTCTCTGTGCCCAAAACCTAGCACTCAGTGAATGTTCTAAGTACAGTGGCTTTGAACTCTGAAAAGTAAGAGTAGTAACATTAGAGATTAGAACAGTGAAAATCAAAGTTAATGAGGTCTCTGGGTCTGACCAAGTTGGAGTAAGGGAGGAGTGAGAAGGCCACATAGTACGAGAGAGCCAAAAGGAGTGGACTAGCACGTCTGAACCCTTGTTCTGGTTCTTGAGATTAGTTTCTGACTTGAAAGAAATTAATGGGTTTTTGGGGGGCGGGGGGGCAGTGTTTACACAAATTCCTAGTTCAGCAGCCACACCCAGGGAAGATCTTGAAGCTAATCATTTGCTTAGGAAAACAGAAGATGTCCATAGGATTGGAAAAATAGAAAAAGGATCAGAAAACGAATCGTTCCTCTTCATCCATTCTAGAAACAGTAAACTTGGGAGTTTTTCTTCAGGACAGTTTTAAAAGAAGCAGTGCAATTAAACTTGAAATAATCTTAACAGAGGCTTAGCAGTTCACTGATAGATGGGACCACTGTACATCATCCACACTCTGTTCTGTTTGCCACTCCTGCGTGCGCGTGCACACACACACACACGAACATCAGATTTATAATTGGCAAATATATAGGAAAAATTTATCATCACATTCACCATTATAATATGATGGAATTATTCTAAATATAGTTTAAAATCCACATTTTTATGACTTAGAAGGATAATTTCCTTTTTATAGTATGTAAAAGTCAGATATGCTTCAGGAATTAGATGACCTCAGTACCTCAAAGTAGGGAGGGGTCATATACGTGAATGCTGGGTAAGACCCAGAAGGCAAAGAGGCACAAAAATGTCTGAGCAGAATATTTATTTTAAGAGGGAGTGGAAAGTTTCTTTTTTAAGATTACCAGGGAAAGGGTCATGGAATTTTATACTTGATGCAGAGAGATGTTTTGTCTTTTACTGGATGGAGAACAAAGATGAAAACATAATAAACTAAAAAATATTCAAAGCCCAACCTTACTCCTTCCTCAGTAGTTTTTCCTCTGTGGAATAATACACTGGAACTCTTAGTAAATCACTAGCAAAATAATAAATCCTATGCCAATCAGAAGATTATAGATGGGGAACTCATAGGCAAGAGGTAGATAGACATTTGACACCAAACTAGGTGTTAGTTCAAAGTCACAACCCCTGGAAGAGTGTCAGACTAAGATACAGATTCTAGTTGGTTTTATATAGAATGTTCCAATCAGAACTGAAGCAAAGATCAAAAAGTATATGAAAAAGTGAATAGTGGTAAAAGGTTAGTATGAAAATACCAAATCAACTTTTAAAATTTCTTAAGAGATGATTAGAATCAGGTCACCTGGATTTTAACCATGAGTTTACTATGCACTGGCTGTGTCACTCCAGGTAAACTATTAAATCTTTTGTCCTCAGTTTCATCAGTTCTAAAGTGGAAACAATAAGCAATAAGGATTTACTGTATAGCACAGGGAACAGTATTCAATATCTTGTAATAATCTGTAATGGAAAATAATCTGAAAAAATATGTATATAACTCAATTACTTTGCTGTACGTTATATACTTTGCTATAACACAGTATTGTAAATCAGCTATAACTTCAATTTAAAGAAAAAAAATGGGAACAATAATAGTTTCTCATCGGGTTACTGTAAATGTGTACAGTTCTTAAAACACAGCATAGTGTCTGGAACATAGTGGACATTCAATATGTTATCTAGTATTTATTATTATTACTTAAATAGCTAAACCCAGATAGTGGGTGTATTTTTTAATGTTAAAAAAAAAAAAAGGTCAAAGGCAGACTTATCCCTTCAATGACTGATTTTATCTACAGCATTAACCAGGTTTTTCAAATCACGAAACTTGGGCCTGTCAGCCTACCACTTGGAAATAACTGTGAGCTCAACTATTTCCAAGTACATATAATCAGGTCCAGGTAAAGACTTTTTCAAAATTTATTTCTGTTGTTCTGGGGAAGCATTTGTTTGCCTCATAACATTTCTTTTTTAGAAGTAGAATTTATCGTGGTGAAGTTTAACATCCTAGAGACCAAAAAAAAAAAAAGTCTGCATAGTTTCTATAGAAGTGTAGCTTCTGGAACAATTTCAAAATGAAACCCCAAAGACAGTGCATTAATGCTGAGATATACTTGGAGATATCACTACATTAAAAAAAAAACATAATGTGCTTTATAAATTAATCTCAAGTCTGAACCAGACACAGAAGGGTGGAAAGCCAGAATTCTGTACCCACATAATCAACAGTCTGTGGAAACTCTGGGAACCATGCCACTAGTCTCCAACCTAGCATAGTTGGGAAATGACACATTCTCTAAGGAGCTCTTGTCCAAGAAATGAGTGGGCCACAAAGCACAGCAGTGAGGTCCATAAGCTTGTTTTATGAATGAAGAGTGTGAGGTGTACTGGCCCTAAGCTCAGCATCTTTATGCATGTTGTAATTTCTAATTCTTCAGTTTTTATCCTAGTGATGGATTGGTATAACAGAATTCTACCAGGAAAAAATAATGTCAGCCGTAAGAATATTGTTTCATACTACTGCAGAATTATTTTAAATCAAGTTTTCATATTTATCTCCAGTCCTAGATCAGATCTTCCTACCTGCCCCTCCCCACCAAAAAAGGAAATGGATGGTATATACAAAAAGCCAGAAACTTAAATCAATTTTATTCACACTTCCCATGAAAGGCAGTTATATTTTTACATAAAATCATTGACACAGAGAACAAGAAAACTCTTAAGATTAATATAACTGATTAGACACACAATATAGAAAGTAAACTGAAAATTAAAAATAGCATACTTTAATGATTACATTTATATCATATTTTCTACTAATTTATAGCAGCATCAGTAAGATTCATGTATTCTTTAATAAACTAGCAGCAAAAATTTTTAACTACACAAATTCAGTAGATGTTCCCCCCACTGTTTCACTCATACAGAATTTATCACATTAACGTAAAAAAACCACTTCTATTTCCTAAAGAAAAAGATGGGAAAGATTTCACAAGTCAGCAGTTTCCCAAGGAAAGAAGGGAGGAATGAGGAAGGAAGCTGAAAAAAATTGGTGGCAGTTACCAAAAAATAAATTCTCAACCACCTTGATCAATTATGGGTAGCTTCTGTGGCATCTCTATGTATGTGTATGTTAGTGTTAACATAAAAGCTGTGTTAACTTTGCTTTCTGATTTAATACTGCAGCTGAAAAATATGTGGAAGTTCCCAGGAGGCCTGTCAGAGCCTGGAGAAGATATCGGTGGGTATCTTATATATTTATAATTGACTTGAAAATGCTGAATAAATTTATGTGCTTACTTTCTTGCTCTAGAGCTGAGAATGAGATTTTAAGCTTTCTAATTGGTTTAGACTAAGTCAGAAAATTTCAATGAAGTTATTCAGTGCTGATATAAAATTAACAGCAAAACTTAACATTACAGTTTATTCCATTAGTATAAATAATACCATTCAGAGCATAACACCGGTTTTCTGGCTTAGGACTGCTTCTAGATTAATTTGAAAATGAGAAGCTTTGGATATACAGTTAAGGTTAGCATTAAGGGATATTTTGAATTTGACTAAAATTGTTGGAGGGTTTCCCTGGTGGGTCAGACAGTTAAGAATCCGCCTGCAATGTGGGAGACCTGGGTTTGATCCCTGGGTTGGGAAGATCCCCTGAAGGAGGGCATGGCACCCCACTCCAGTACTCTTGCCTGGAGAATCCCATGGACAGAGGAGCCTGGTGGGCTACAGTCCATGGGGTCACAAGAGTCAGACACAACTGAGTGACTAAGCACAGCAAAATTGTTGGAACTGAACTATTAAATTCTTGGCCATTTTATCACAAGGTTGAGGAGAAATGTTTAAATGAAATGTGAAATATTTATAAAGGCAATTACTGAACAGTGGGGGTATAATTCTTCTGTTTATGGAAATTTTACCTATTTATTTTGGATAGTCAGCCAACAGATGGTAACATGTCTCATGTGAGAAAGTCTGAAATGAGAGATAATTTTCTAGAACAATTTACTGAGCTCAGTATTTAAGATAGGGAAGTTTGAAATAAGCTAAGAATTCTTTATGTCACTGATTTTACAGGAAATTGAGGAGAGTAGAAACTGAGTTTTCCTGTCTCTTCCTTAAACCATTGTGTCAGGCACAGTCCCGATCATAATAAATCAATAGATAACTCATTTCATACTTAACTATGTTTCTATGACTTCTTCCTCAGTGTGTATGTGTCCCCTAATCTCTTTAGCCATCATTTATATGAAGGCAGTGTCCTAAATTATTTTTAAATGTATATATATACATGAAATTTTTTTTAATATCCCACAGATGAAAATGCCCTATTCATAGTATAGAGCCAACTCCTAACATCCTATAAGTAAATTCACTACATTCAAATATATCATAGCAGATTTTAGTTTTTAGGTACTTACTGACCTTTAGCTTAGACTTCCCTAGGTCTTCTGTTGAAATAAAAGGATTTTGTAGTAGTGCCAGTGCTGAAAGAAAAAGCCATTTATTCTAGAACTTCTGATTATCTCACACTATCCTTGTGTGATATGAGATCATATGAACTAGTTAAGTGTCTGTTTTACATCCTTATCTAATCCATACTGGGCAAATAGCAGTCTATAGGAAGTTTGTATAACTTCCTCTTCTGAACCTTGCCTTCTCAAATGAGTAACTTTTTTCATTTGAGTTTTCATCGATATTCTCAATTTCAGATATATTTTTTAATGTTAAATAAACACATTTACATACCAGGTAAATATACTTTAGGTTTGAGTGTACTCCGGAACATTTCAAGTCCATATAACTAGAAATTCACTACTTTTTTAAAGTATTTGTGATTATCACAACAACCCACCTAGTCAGAGATTGTTTTTAATGCCTCCAGGCATATGGAATTAAGAAAAAAGCAGCAACTGGCATTTACCATATTGCCTAGGAGTAGGAAAAACTGAAGCGTTGCCTCAGAAGTGCTAAAACTCTGAAAGCAGCTAGAAATGTAAGTGACAGAGATCTGAAAGACCATGTCTATGTAGAATACATTTCTGTTTTGTAACAGTACAGTAATAGACTACTCTTAATGATGAAGCCAGATCAACCAGGAATTGTTTGTTTTCTTTAAACTCTGCTTTTAGGAAAGTATGTAATAGAACTGCCACCATCATAAATGTGTAAATGTTCATACTGGCTCTTAAGCAGTAAACACTTGTTAAAATGAGAAGCTCATTTGTTTGGAATCCTTCATTCTTTGCTAAGTATTAGATGAATGAAGTAGAGTACAAAGGTATCTACAGATAAGGTTAAAAACAGAAGCTGCCATTCTGGGGGGCGGGGGGATCTCATTAGCACTGACAGGAAGATAACCCCCTGTGTAGCCAAAGGTCTGTAAAGCAGTGGGGCCTGCTCAGAGCTAGCAGTGCACCAGAGTGAGGGGGAGACACCAGGAAAATCCACATTCTGCCGTTTTTCCTATTATTTTATTTCAACCTAATCCTGTTATTAAATATTATGAAATAGAAGTAACAAATATAAACTCCATTTCATTATTGTCCTTTAACTAAATAAAACACTATGATGTTTTTAAACATTTCTTTCAACCAGCAAAAAAAAAACAAAACCCTCTTGGTTTTTCCGGTATTCTTCAAATCTATAAAACTGTTATACAGTTTAGTTACAGTACATTTAAAATAATAAAGATACAAGAGAATAAAGCACTTTATCTAAATTAAAATTTTTAAATTCATCATAAAATCCTTTGGAGAAGAGATTTCAGCCTTAATATAGAAGGGGTTGGTTACTCTAGATCTAAAAACACTTATTTGCCCATTCAATTTTTAGTCTAGCCAATGGCATCATGATTGAAATTAAATGGATCAAACTACCCAGGCAATGCTGATTTTGAATCAGCTGCTGTGGTGACAATCAGCTGCTGTGGTGACGGCTAAGCCTGGCAGATTGACTCACCAGCCCCATCCTGTGCTTCCATAACATACAAGCAGGCTAGACACAGGAACTAAATGCTCAACTCTTGACTAATGTTACTAAGAGCTAAACAAGACCCCCATGGTCATTTCAAAATGTTTAAAGAACTTTTTAAACATTTAAACAATTTTTAAGTCAGATCAGCAAATGACATATAAAATTTACGACTAGTTCCACAATCTTTAACAAACTTGATACAAATTTTTTAATACAACAAAAAATTATTTTCCTTAAGCCAAGTTTTCCTTTTCTTAACATATATATATTTCTATATTTTTAAAAATATAATTTCTAACCATGTTTATTTGATCTTTGGCAAAGCTCAATTAAAAAGGAAGTTCACATAGAATTCAAATATGGCAGACAGATGTCATATTTTACACACTACTCTTCCTGTGCTTATTTCCAGAGCTGTGATTAGAAAAAACATTGAAACATTTCTTGTTTACTTGCTCTTCCTTGCCTATTCCTCACTAGTAGGACTACTGAGAAGCCAAATACAGTTTACAACCTGACAAACAAGAAAATGAAGACATTAAAGTACATTTGAACAAAAATCTATACTTGTGGCAATTGTGAAACTTCCCAGAAAATAGACAAGGAAGGCAGCTTTTTTAAGGGCTTTTCATAAACACTTTGGGAGACAATGACAGCATCACAAAATTACAGAAATCCCAGGTAGGAGGTTCATCTGGATATTTAGAAAGAGTAGCCACAAAAATAAGTTAATGGCAATAAAAATCCTGTCCTAGAAATTTGCATATTATTAAAAAATCAACCTTATAAAATATGAAAACCCTGGTAATATAAAATTCTGTAAATTTCATGGTTTTTTTAAACTTCTGATGACGGTAGCATTTTGGTGTTAGAAGAATGAATCCCAAGTTCTTTGAAACAGCAAGAAACAAAGAAAATGCCGGAAATTACCATGGTGGGATTCCACTGACAGAATAACTAGAAGAGCATAACAAAATGGTTATAAAGAAATCTGGTCTATGACTTCAGAGGCCTGACAGTCCCAGGAGAGACCAGGGATGATTTGAATCATTTCCTAGTTCTATATATTAGGCAGCTCTACAGACTTTTGTAGAGAAGAATGGATCACTTTTTCTTTACTTCAAATGTTTATCAGTTTAGGCAGTTTTAATGGATAATCAGGAACAAGATAATAATGAAAAAATATACAGGAATATTAACAAGAGCTTTGCAACCTATGTTTTCACCTTTGGGGAAATAAAACAGGAAGAGTTTAAAAATATGTGACTCCCAAAATATATACATGTAGATGGGTAAGCTTGCAAGTAAAAGCCAAAGAAATATTCAGTATTTCAAAAGCTTCTTAGCTATACAGTGGTAAGAAAATACTTTGTTATTTCAGGATGTCCAGAGGACAGAGTTTACAGGGAAAGCTTTATTTTCTTAGGGTGAAGTTTTACCTTTTGAACCTATACATAATAATGCTTCCTTATCTGAAAATCTTTGATTAAATTTCTCAAAGTATAATCCTTATTGATTTGTACATTTTCTTTTATGTAGGAGATACAGCAGTTAGAGAAGTTTTTGAAGAGACTGGTATAAAATCAGAATTCAGATCCCTCCTGAGTATTCGGCAACAGCACACCCATCCGGGAGCTTTTGGGAAGTCAGATATGTATATTATCTGCCGCTTAAAGCCATATTCATTCACCGTAAATTTTTGCCAGCATGAATGCTTAAAGTGTGAGTGGATGGATCTCAGTGATCTAGTCAAGACTAAAAATACAACTCCCATCACAAGCAGAGTTGCAAGACTGCTGCTGTATGGGTACAGAGAAGGGTTTGACAAAATTGATCTGACCATGGAAGAACTGCCAGCAGTTTACACAGGCTTGTTCTATAAACTCTATCACAAGAAACTGCCAGACAATTACAAAACTATGACAGGAATGGATTAAATTCATATGTACATGTTTTTTAAATGTTTGTTTTTACATGTAGATTAATGTGTGCCATATTATAGGAAGTAGTGGACATTTGGGTTAATAAGTAAATATGACTTTAATTTTCTAATGTCTTTAATTTCCATGAAGAAAACTTGTTTGTACACATTTTGAAAGCCTCTTTTCAAATGAAGCAACTGTATGAGAGATTGTAGCTTTAAGTAAATTTCACTGGATAAAAGGAAATGCTATATAAAAAGTGGAAGTGTATACATTTTCCAGGAATTTTTGCTGTTATTGTGTTTTTTCTTTTATAAAAACTACGGCAATGGTTAAATATTTTACTATTAGATAAAAGATTATCTGAACAGTTACCCAAACTGAGCAGATCACTGTACACATTTTTCTTTTTTCATTAACAAATTTCTGAAATATACCTCTTCACGTAAAATGAGATCAGATGCTGCCATTAAGATCAGCTCTTAGCAGACATTGGAAGAAAAAGTATAGCTTTCTGCCCAGGTCCTGTTTTGGGTCCAAGTTTATACTGCCCAGTTCGTTTCAGTGCCACATACCAACTGGAGTATTTCCTTGACCGGTAAGTATTGTAGTTATTAGACTCCAATCGTTCAAAAAAGAAACATTCGTCTGTAACACATTTCTGCAAAATAAAGGAAAAATTAGTAGTTGTTGTGATACTTTCATATTAAATATTTAAAGAAATAGTACACAGTGCTTTGGGTTCAGCAGAACAGTCAAACTAGCAAGACTCAACAGGCCAAAATCTGACACAGATTTCTTATTCTGCAGAAAGATGCAGGACAGAAGCACAGCATGTCAGCAGGACAACTTGAAGCACATCTCTTTGGAGGAGCAGTCCAAGGACCATCCTGGAGCCTCACGACAGACAGGTCAGGAATTGGGCAGCAAAAGCACCCAGGTGGTCTAAGAACCACACTGGCACAGAACTAAAACATCTCACGAACACAGATTTTCAGTGGTCTCCACAAAGGATAAATCCAAGAACAGGAAGCACGCTACACTTAGGGAAATGCAAAGCAATGGCTTTCACTTAGGTATTTATTGTCCATCCATCTCTAGTACTATAATCCAGGGGTAACCTCCCCATAAAGAAGGGTTTTAGTAATACTTCACTCAAAGAAACAGGATTTATTCCTTAAATTATGTTTTTTTCTAGTGACTGACACTGATTCTAAGGCATAAAGAGAATAGTTTATGTACAGAAAATTGCCAATGTATATAATGCCAAAAAATTGTACTGGAACATTGTCATACAGTTAGCATTCTCAAGAACTTCCCTGGTAGCTCAGCTGGTAGAGAATCCGCCTGCAATGCAGGAGACCCCAGTTGAATCCCTGGGTCAGGAAGACCCCCTGGAGAAGGGATGCACTGCCCACGCCAGTATTCCTGGGCTTCCCTGGTGGCTCAGTCAGTAAAGAATCTGCCTGCAATACGGGAGTCCTAGGTTCGATCCCTGGGTTGGGAAGATCCCCTGGAGGAGGGCATGGCAATCCACTCCAGTATCCTTGCCTGAAGAATTGCCATGGACAGAGGAGCCCGGTGGGCTGCAGAACGTGGGGTCTCAAAGAGTCGGACACGACTGAGCAACTAAGCACAGCACAGCATTCTCAAAACACTAGCAGATAAAGAGGAATAAGTAATCTTGACAGTCTCCTGTGGGAAGGGAAACCACTCTGCCATTTTACTTCAACAGTTTATTAGAGGGGGTGGAGAATAGCTAGATTTACAAATAGTGAGACCTGGAAATAGTATTCCAAGTTAGAGTCCAGTAGGCTGTTGCAGGTAAATGTTCAGGTAAATATTCAAAAATCAACTTCATAGGGCAGCACTGATGATACTTACTGACCTCAGGGGGGGAAGTCAACAAGTGACTTACTCGATTTAAGGGAAGAGAGGAAAAATTATATTTTATGTTACAGTTAGTTAAGTAGGGTAGGATGATAATTTTATATAGAAAACCATATAAATTTATACATATCTCCACATACAAATACAACATGCTTACACAGATATATGACATAAACCTGTGGTTTTGTATTAGCATACCAGATTCCAGCTGATTCTACATACTCAAATCTAGGAAACTTGAGGTTTAAGGAAATCCACATTCAAAAGACTTGAATCTTTTCCCAGATTCTTTGGTTCTAAGATAAACACAGTGGCACAAAGTGTGAGAAATACATGTAAGTATAGCAATGAAAAGAACTGACATGATAATCAGTGTTCTAAAAGTAAAGTACTGAGAAAGCCCTAAAAGTGAATATTAGCTCCTTTAGCCAGCTTCTAGGGATAAGAATTTTACTTGGCTTATTCTGACTACAGTTAACTTTTATAAATTGAAATGCAAATTTATCTAGTTTGCTCATTTTTTGCAACTAAGAGCAACTTCAGGCTTTCTGATGCAAATCACAGGTAGCCTTACAGAGAAGCAGACACTGCACAAGGAACAGCTGTGTGATACATAGGACTGTCTTAGGGTTTTCAAAGAGATTCAAATGTGATAACAGCAGAATACATATACTAACGTGAATAGTCCGTAGCCAGTATTTTCACTCTACGTTTTGTGAAATTATCATGCTTCATGTGTTAAAGTGATACAGGTTATCTTGCCATTTTTCAGGCCAGCAGTAAACCTCTTCCTCCTCCCTGCTCCAGGTGTGAGAGCAGGAGGAGAGTTGAAGGAGAAGCCGCGTGACCGTGAGGGTGACACGGAGGTCACCCCCAGGATCCGGGCCAGCTCCCCAGGGGCAGACCTCACCCGCATCAGTTAGCCTCAGGGTGCTGAGAAGCTCTTGTTTGGTGTTTGGTTAGCCTCAAGGGTGTCCCACCTATAATATTTGGCCAATGGGATATGTACCATACCAATAATATATGCCTTCTCAGCCAACTGCTAATGTTGTAGAGAAAAGGAATGACACCCGGGATTAAGTGGATAATACATCATGGACCCACAGTTTTTTAAAACAGAGGTTTCCTGTTCTTTTACACAGAGGGGAGAGAAGGAAACTGTGCATCTGTGCCAAACATTCAGACATGTAAGTTTACTAAACTGCTGCTATGCACTTGAAAACAAACTCCCATCTTTTTAATGGGTAGTAGGCCAAAATTCAGTCTCACTAAATCCAGGCATTTAACATCCCATTTTAAGTGATTTTCAGTTCCTTCCATTCTGAGTTTACAAATCCTCTTCACTGGCTGTGATATCAGTATTCCTGTTAAAAATTGATGCAATGTAATTTTTTAAAAACTTTATAAACATATTTAGAGAGCTTTTTTCTTATACTCAATGTTTAACTGCTCACCATTTCAAACTTAAGAGAAAAGGAAAAGCAACATCACAGAGGAAGTAGATAAATAGCTTCTAAGGGCTTATAGGACTTGTTCTCCAAGGCCTTATTTTACATAGGCCCAGGAGCTAAGAAATCCCTTAATTCATGGTTATTGGCTGCTCTCATGCATAGCATTTTATTTACTGTGTCAGCCGAAAAGTTTGTTCAGGTTTTCATACCATATTACAGAAAAATCAAAATGAACTTTTTGGCCAACACAATATTATACTCATTGAAAAATAAGGAATCCAAAATTCAAGGCTCTTAGTAACTTATTTCAGACTATAGATACCCTTTGCCCATGTATCTATCAGATACCTTTTCATCAAATTTAATTTTTCATTTTTTAAAATTTAAGAATAGTTCTGGAGGAGGGAGGTGGGAGGGGGGGATTGGGATGGGGAACACGGAAATCCATGGCTGATTCATGTCAATATATGGCAAAAACCACTAAAATATTGTAAAGTAATTAGCCTCCAACTAATAAAAATAAATGGAAAAAAAAAAAAGAATGGTTCTGGGACACAAAAAGCACATAGTTCAAATAATGCGTTTATTCACTTAACATGTATTTCTTCTAGGCACTGGGATACATAAGGGAACAAATCTGAACAAGGATCACTCCCTTTTTGCTGCTCCAGTTCTCACTGGTGGAGATATACAATAAGCAGTAAGCATAACTGAGTAAATTATATGATAAAGCTGAATAGGATAAGATGGAAATGGTGGTGGTTACAGACTAGGTTGCAATATTAAATAGCATAGTCACAGTAGGCTCTGGTATTTGAGCAAAAATTTGAAGGAGGTGGGGTTAACCCTCCAGATACCAGAGAAGAGCATTCCAAGCAGAGGGGAAAGCCAGTGTAAAATCCCTTCAACAGGATCGTGCCTAGAGTGTGAAGCGCAGCAAGAGGGTTAAATAAAGCAGAGGATTTAGAGGAGAAAAGGAATAGGAAATGAGGCAGAGAAGTAATGAGATACAAGAGTCACAGGCTACTACAAATATTTTGGCTTCTACCCTGAGAAAATGAAAAGACACTATAGACTTTTGAGCATGATCTGATCTATTTTTCCAGGATTACTCTGGACCAAAGGCAGATGTGGAGACACCTGTTGGTGGCTTGCTCAGGAACCTAGGCAGAGAGGGAGACTTGGACCACAGTCGTGGCACCAGAGAGGATCAGAAGCTGTCTCTTCCTGGATGTGTTCTGCAGGTAGAATTGTCAGAGTTACCTGACAGATCAGGTGTTCAGGGTAAGAGATAGAGAAGTCAAGGATGGCACTGACATTAGTGCCCAGTGATGGGCTTGCTGGGATGGGGAAGGCTATGAATGGGAATGGGTTTTATAGAGAGAGATTTGGAATTCAGTTTTGGACATGTTGAGTTTGAGATGAATAGTAGGTATTCTAGTGGAGAAAAATGTTTACTGAGCACTTACTATGTAACAGACATCACTTAACCTTCTTTCCCTCTTACTAATGCTAGTAACCACAGAATTGGAACTTGAAAAGTACTAATTTATTTGAAAGCTAGGAAGTGTGTTACAGTAGTTTCAATAAACCATTATTCTCAATTCTAAAAGGTATGGAATCCAGAAAATGAATGTAGATGTACATGTATGAGAGTAATATAAATCTATCTTTTGTTAGTGGTAGACCACACCTCAAGACCTTTCCTGAATGCTATGTACATGAACCAGCATAGCTTAGGACCTTAATAAGATAAGGGACTTAATAAGCATTTGTTGCTACTAATGAGTGATGCTAATTGTTTTAAAGATGGTTTGTGCTGGAAGTTTGACCCCTTGGTAGGAATCTAAATAGCAAAGAATTGAACAGAGTTTGAAAAAGCATAGTCAACATTTTTAAATAGTTTGATTTATATTTCATCTAGACATTTTGAAATCTCAAAAGAAAGTGAACCAGTGTGAGATACATACACATAATGAAAAAGATGGGAGGAACCAGGTTTCTCACTCTTGGAGTAGGTGGCTATAGACAAGCCAGCATGGAAGACTAAAGTGGTTCATGTGACACTGGTGGATTAGGGTTGGAAACATCAGCATGTACTCGTTTTTTAATATAAAACCATACACATGGTTAAATATGGAACTGTTTATAAATATGTGTATATATATTCAGGTTGGTATATGCCTATATGCCTTGCCCTGTCAGGTTAAGACTGCCCAGAAGCAAACACCCAGATCTTGGTTTCTAATACCATTTTCTAAAGGTATTAGAAGGAACCAAGCTCCTTAGAGAAATAGCTCATTCTAGGCTGGAGTAGGAAATATACAAGATGAGCCTGGAGCACTCTTAGAGGCCATAAGGAAGTACTCAAAAAAGCCCACACTGTCTGGGGTATGTGAAAGAGCATGAAAGCCAACTGAAAAAGCTCCCAGTGGTCAAAGCTGAAACAATTTCAAATACACAGCAAAGTTTTGGATTATAACCCAAAGCATAAAATTAAATACCCATGCACATATACTGATATAAATGATTAAATAAATGAATGGAGACTAGACAAATTTCTCATACAAAAGAATTCCAAATAATTTATGTAGCTACTTCCTCAAGGAGAGGGGAGTGTAAATGACACCCATCCCCACCCCCCAATCTCTTAAATGTAGATTGTGTATAGTGACTTTCTTCCAGAGAATGCAGTACAGAAAGGGGTGAACAGGAGTAACTTTACAGTGGAGAGAACACTACCTCAGCCAGGTGATCACCGTTAGTAGTAGTAGTGGTAAGTCGGTTCTCTGACATGATACAATGAAAATATGGCACTCTACCTCTGTGATCCACCTCCCAAATACTTATCACACATGTCTAATCAGGCAAACCCAAACTGAAAGACCTTATTTGACTAGTACTCCTCAAACTGTCAAATCAAAAAAAGGAAAGTCTAAGGAACTGTCAGAGTGTAGAGGAGACTGAAGAGACAGGATGACTAAATGTGGTATCCTGAACTTAATCCTGGAACAGAAAAAGAACATGAGGTAAAGCAAGGAAATATGAATAAAGTGTGAACTTTAGCTAATAATGATGTATCAACATATTGATTCATTAGTTGTGACAGAGGTACCATGCTAATATGTTAATAGGAGAAGCTGGGAATGAAGTATATAGATGCCCTCTGTATTGTATATTCACAACTAAAACTATTCTAAAATCAATATTTTTAAAACCTGACCCTAGTGCTACAGTGTAACCACAATAAGAGCATCTTTCAAATAACTGAATTTAGTGACTCTTGTTACATCATGATGGATAAAAGCATCTCATTTATTTTTGTGCTCTAAAACATCCAGATACAGATCATTTATTTATATACACATATCCACTTGATTTCACCAGACTATAAATGCCATATGGGTAATTGTCTTCTGTTGTTTTTCTTCTATTGCTGTATCAGTACCTGGCACATAGTAAGTGATCAATAAACATTTATTAAATTAATGAATAAATGAAATTATTTTATATAGGCTATACATTCAGTGACACTGCAAAATCGAAATAAACGTTAAAGAACTAAGACCAAGGAAGAATTCAGGATAAGTATTGAAATATAGAATATAGTCTCATTTTTATGAACTATTTAGTCCCTGACGAAACTAAGCCAGTTGGTCCATTTCAAGAATTTGACTAACAATATCTGTGAGGATCTTTATGAGTCAAGATGACTGGATTCCAGTGTTGCCTTGATCCCTAACTAATTTGTAACTTTGAGCTCTTAACCTGTCTGAACCTTACTTTTCTCATCTATAAAATAAGATTGAATTAGATGATCTTTAAGATCCCTCCCAGTTTTTAACAGTTTTTAAGCCTTTAAACAATCTTAAAGCCCTGGCACACTATAAGACAAAAAAAAAAACTAGAGTAAATTCTCTTCTCCTTCCCCCCTCACCGCAATCTCCTGTCCTTACGTATTGGCCTCAGAATTCTCATGCACTTCAGTTAGGTTGACCCTTAGGGCCGTTCCACAGTGCTGTTTTTTGGATTATTCATTCTTTTACAGTACTTTGATGTTGCAGTTTTAACTTATGAGTTTGCTCAACATGAATCCAAAAATGCTTTTGCCTACCCCACTTCTGAGAATTAAAGACAGACATGATGTCAGTATCAGTGTTGACTATTTCAGAACAAAACAAGACACACAGTGTGTGGAAAGTTAAAAGTAAATTTAATCTTAATATTGTAGTATATATGTAGCTTGTGTAAAATTTTATATGATTGATTTCTAAAAAAAAAAAAAACAGTAGTTTTGAATATGCAGTAATGTTTGCATCTAATCTAATGTTAAGTGTCAGTTGCTCAGTCATGTCCTACTTTTTGAGACCCCCATGGACTGTAGCCTGCCAGGCTCCTCTGTCCATGGGATTCTCCAGGCAAGAATACTAGAGTGGGTGTTGCCATTTCCTTCTCCAGGGCATCTTCTGACCCAGAGATCAAACCCAGGTCTCCCACACTGCAGGTGGGTTCTTTACCTTCTGAGCCACCAGGGAAGCTTTTTATCTTTTAAAAATGATTTTTTTCTTTAAGTGATATATATTGCTCTTTAATTGCTGCATTTTTCTGACAAATGTAATCAGTATATTTTGCCAATCTAAGTGAACCCTCAAAAATCTCTTTTCCTTTACTATGTAAGTTTCATTTCATTAAAAGGCCCCTCAAGCAAGAAAGTTGTTAAGTAAAAAAGTATTTTACAGTAATTAAATGTGTATCCTCAGATAATATAATTTTTGCATATTTCACTTTTATGGATCAACACAGGTCACATACATTTTAATACTAAGTTACTTTGTTTAGGTTATCACAATATATCACATAATACAGAAAACAATGTGCAATTTTCTAGCAGATAAAGATCAGGCAAATTTTTTCATACCAGTGCTAACACTGAGGTTTGGTGATTTAAACTTAAGCTCACAGTTAAACTCATTACATGCAATTTTTGAACACTGAAGAAATCAAATTCTAATATTTGTTATGGACCTCTGTTGCTCATAGCAACAAAATTTATCTTGCTGTGGAGTGGAATAAGGAGTCTGTTGTGTATTAAGGAATACTCAACATCAGGCTTAATTTATGCTTTGGCAGATAAATAAAGTTACTGCTTGTACATTTATATTTTCTAGCTTCGAAGAGGGGGGAGAAGACCCTTAACATGTGAAGATGTTGGGGGAAAAAAAAGAGGTATACAACTTAAGTCTTATTTTTATACTCTCAACTGGTGGTAGGCAACTTAATGTGACGCCTAAAAACTAAAATGTTTTGTTATCCAGAATGCTTTTTCTGAGGGGAGGGAAGTAAGTTTTACAAATCCGTGTAGGAATCACACACAGGGGGAAATGCAGAAGAACCCAGGGATGTGCCATAACACAGCTGTTTGAAATAGGGCCTCATAGAAGAGTGGAAAGAATTATGCCTTTGGCAAGTTCAAGTTCGTAAACGCCAGTGTCTCTACATAATAAGGAACATCTGCATCCCCATGTGATGGCTACCGGTCACAAACTTGGACTTATATGCAAAGTCGTCTTTTTTTTTTTCTCACATGCCCAGTAGTCTCTGGGAAGTCACCTGAGTGGGTCCCCACTGACATCCCTAGCTATGGGGTGTCTCACCATCATGATTCATCTCAACCCAGTAAATGTTGGCAAGATGATATTAATAACTAAGGGTCAAGACTTTTAATTTCCGATCTAAAAGCTGCTGTTGACAGCTCAATGCCTATGGACCTGGCTCCAAGAAATATGCCACTTACTGAACCACCTCCTTGGTTTGGGAGTAGGGACACTTACTTTTTCATCTGAAAATTGACACAGCCCACCCAGACTAATCTGAAAGAGGATGGCTGCTGAAGCACAAGGCAGAAAGCCATACAAACTGAATGGTAAGACTAGAGATTAAATCATGAACTTGGCAGGAATAGCTTCTAGGACGGGAGCTGGAACAACTGGATCTTGGCTGGTGCCATTCCTCAAAGAAAACTGATAAATCCTGAATTTTCCATTTATGTATAACAACTGTGGCTTTGTCCCTACAGAGTTTGTGGTAAATATCTGAGCACTGCTGATTTAACTCTTGCTGTACCAATCTGAAGGAAGTCTGTTGTATCAGGAATTAACACATATCCTAGGGGACAGAAATATATTTAAGACTAAAAATGCTGTGACCATAAATATTGTGAAAGGTCCTGCTTATTAGCTAAGGGAGAAGCTAGAAAACACTGTTCATTTTAGAGTAGTTTATACTTCTGATGGTACAGAAGCAAGTTTGGGACACTTAATAGATATTTACCTAGAGAAGGGGTCAGAATACTCTGAATTCTAACTTGTATTCTGTAAGAATGAGAAGAAAGCTCAGTTTTTAGGTCTAGTGTCATAAATTTTCTCCTCTTTTACAACCCCAGTAGTTTCAGAGATGCACTTGTAGAGTAGCTTCTCAGCCTAAATATCCATCAACAGATAAATGGATAAAGAAGATGTGGCATATATACACAATGGAATAGTGCTCAGCCATAAAACAGAATAATGCCATAGAAGCAACATGGATGGACCTAGAGATTGTCATACTCTGTGAAGTCCGTCAGACAGAAAAAGAGAAATACCATATATCACTTATATGTAGAATCTGAAAAATATACAAATCAACTTATTTACAAAACAAACAGACTCATAGAGATAGAAAACAAACTAATGCTTACCAAAGGGGAAGAAGAATGAGGAGTTTGGGATTACAAATACAAGTTACTATATATTGAAAAAAAAAGCAACAAGGTCTACTTTATAGCACAGAGAGCTATATTCAGTGTCTTGTATAATCTATAAGGTAAATGAATGTGAAAAAAATGTGTGGGTATATGTGGTGGTGGTTTAATCGCTAAGAATTGTCCAATTCTTGCAACCCCCAAGACTGATCTGCCAGGTGCATGTGTGTGTAAAACTGAATCACTTTGCTGTATACCAGAAACCTAAACAACATTAGAAATCAACTAAACTTCAATTTAAGGGAAAAGTTTTCATAAATAAAGTAGAATAGCTTGTTATCATCACTTTAGGTAATTATAGAGCTTAATCATTACAGATGAACCTATGTTCCAGCCTATGTTCTCAAGATAAATAACCCCTCCAGTGACGATCTTACAGGACCAGCAATGATTACCAGGTTACTAGATCATCTAATCTCAATAATGGAAAACCACAGGGTAAGAATCTGAAGTCACTCACTGAGCCAGACTGAGACAGACATAGGAAAGTCTGGACTTTGAAACCATTTTGACTAGTGTTGTCCATAGTTAAAGACAGAAGCTAATGTTGTAATTTCCTTTCTTATCTCCACCACCGTTACTGTCTGGTGGTGGCCAAATCAACACTATTACAGAAGACAAAGTGATTCATGCTGTGTGTGTCTGTCACATCCCGAGGTGAAAATACTGGAGTTAACCTTACATTCACTGTCCTGGAAATATTTAGCATGCTACTTCAGTACATTCCCAAGTATTACATCATCCCTTGAGTTGACAACAGGCTTGTAAGCAAGAACAGTGGAAGACATGCAAGTAGTCTTCATTCCCTTTTTTTTTTTTGCCTAGGAAAGTTCATCCATTCCCCTTCTTTATCCACTACCTATATACTGATGACACCGAGGTCAACACAGACCTCTCCTCTAAAGTCCAAACACAGAATTCCAACTATGTAGTTACACATCTTCACCTGAATTTCTCTTAGCTTAAATTAGATAAGACTAAATTTGAACCTGTATTACCTTTTCCTAGAACTTGCTCTTTTCCTCTAACCCCTTTCTCATCTACCTCTTCATCCAAACTGGAAAACCAGATGTCATCTTTGACTTTTTCTTTTATTCCAGTTCTAAACCTGATCAACTTCATTGCTCTATCCTGTTATTGCCAGGTTCTTATCACTTGCTTGGACTATTCCCATAGCCTTCTAACTGGTCTGTCTCCGCCAGTCTTGGCCCCCTCCAATCCATCCTCTACATTGCTGCAGGAGAACTTTCTCAAATTCAAATCTGATGTGTCTCTTCTTAAAACACTTCACAGCTTCCCATGTTCCCATGTTGCTGACTGCAACATGACACATTAGATGCCTCAGCAGACAGTTTACCTACCTCCCCACATCTCTTCCCTGCTGCCTCCTACTGCCTTTGCACCTTACACTCCCCAGCAGGAAACTGCACTTCTAGAGAGACTCCTAGTAAGCGTCCTGCATCCATGTCTCTGCATGTGCTATGTCCTAAAATTACCCATAACCCAGTCTCCATTCAAGCCTCTTATAGGTCATCTTCCCCAGTTAGACACATTTAATTACTTCCTTTCCTATATTACTATGCATGCATGCAAGATAGAAAAGGAACACATCAATCCCCTTACATGTTACTGCAAATACTTATTTACAATTCTGCCTCCCCAGGACTACCACTCATTTAAAGGCACAGGCCATTTTGCATTCAGTTTTATAATCCTAATGCCCAGCACAGTATCTAGTACACTCAAAAGACACTGGCTATTCTTGAAGATCATTCTAAAAATTATTCAGTTACAAAAAGGGAGAGAGAAGGCACCACTACACCTAGACTTTTATTTATCCTGCAAAAATCACAAACATAATATCACAATAAATATATCTTAATCACATGATCAGTGAATAGTCTTTTTCTCTGTATGTTTCAGTCCCTTCAGAAATCCAAAGATCATGTACAAATGACCAAGAGGCACATGAAAAGATACTCAACATCACTAATTACTAGAGCAATGAGGTATCACCTCATATCAGTCAGAATGGTCGTTAATTAAAAAAAATCCACAAACAATAAATGCTAGAAGAGGGTGTGGAGAAAGGGGAACCCTCCTACATGGTTAGTGGGAATATAAATTGGTACAGTCATTATGGATAATAGTATGGAGGTTTCTCAGAAAACCAAAAATAGTTACCATGTAACCCAGCAATCTTACTCCTAGGTATGTATCTGGAGAAAACCGTAATTCAAAAAGATACATGCCACCCCCAGTGTTTGTTGCTATTTACATAGCTATTTACATAGCCAGGGCATGGAAGCAACCTAAATGTCTATCAACAGAGGTAAAGAAGATGTGGTATGTATATACAATGAAATATTACTCAGTCATAAAAATGAAATAATGCCATTTGTAGAAACATGAATGGACCTAGAGATTGTCATACTGAGTGATGTAAATCAAAGGCAAATATCATAAGATATCGCTTATATATGGAATCTGAAGAAATAAAATGAATTTATTTTAAAGATAGAAACAGAGTCACATATGTAAGAAAGAAACTGATGATTACCCGGGAGGGAGGGCTACATTAGGAGACTGACATGGACATACACACGTATAAAACAGATGGCTGTAGGGCCTACTGTATCGCACAAGGGCTCTACTCACACCCCACTGAGCTGATGGGAAGGGACTCTTAGAAAGAATGTATTCTGTGTAACTGGCTCACTCTGCCGTAGAGCAGAAACTAACTACGCACCACAAAGCTAATTAAAGAGGAACCCAAAGAGCTTCACTCAGAAAAAAATCAAAAACTATCCGTGTAAGCTCAAAACACCAGTATTGTCAGGTACCCTTCTGTGAGGCAAGGTAGAGCTTCTAACTGCTACTGGCATGGTATCATGGCTGCGGGCTGTATACACACACAGGTACATGTCTTTTCTACTCCCACAGCAACACAAGTAGGGTCTCTGTCTGTTATACGGCTCTGTTTCCCTGCATCATTCCCCACGCAGTCTGGTCAGCAGACTAGAAATCCCAGTTGTAGTAATAATGGTGAAGTTGACAGAGAACCTGCGTTAATGGAGAAGATCCTAGCCAGGAGTGAGGACCCTGGAGTGGCAGTGATAAAAAGTTAAAAGTCTCTGCTCTTAAATGAGCTTATATATAAATAAGAACAGGAGGAGGAGGTAAAATTTTTGAGCACCTACTATGTATAAGAGACCCTGATTTTGGCACTTGATATAAACTAGTCTGCACAAAAACTGAGATAGGATCATTATTGTCTCTATGTTATAGCTAAGGGAACGAACTCTGAACAGTTTGCCCAGGAACTAATAAGTGGCAGAGCCAACATCTGTACCTAAGTGAGGAACCCACAGGCTTTCCTGGTGACACAGAGGGTAAAGTGTCTGCCTGCATTGCGGGAGACCTGGGTTCAATCCCTGAGTTGGGAAGATCCCCTGGAAAAGGAAATGGCAACCCACTCCAGTACTCTTGCCTGGAAAATTCCATGGACGGAGGAGCCTGGTAGGCTACAGTATATGGGATTGGCAAAGAGTATTCTGTATAGTGTTTTGTATGTCAAATTTGAAAGAAGCTTTAAAAACTCATACTCAAAATTTTATAGGTCCATCCCAATGCTCCTCAGACAACTGCACAATATATTTTTATAACTAAAGTTTAATAACTAAAAAAAAAAAAAAGTTTAATAGCTTTGCAGCAAAATGCAGTGAATTAGAGTGCCTACTCAGGAGTCAAGACAGTCAAGACCGCCTGGCATGCCCTCCAGACTCTGCCTCACACAAGCTGTGTTTTCTTGGTTACTTTAATGCTCCCTCAGAACTATAGTTTTTGCATCTGTGAAATAAGAATATAATACTCTATATATATGAATGTGAAGATTAAGTGGTATATTTGCAAAACCTTAATGAAGATTTAATAAATACCAATACTAGTAAATTCACAGCAATAAAAGTTAAAGAAAAAAATATAAATACAGAAAGCATTACTTACCGAAGCCAATAATCTTCCATCTTCTTTCATAGCAAGATAACGGTTCGCACACACTCCTTTGATAGACACAACCCCTCTCTCTTCTGCTTGAAGTTGTAGTTTGACTGTAAGTAACAGAAAAATTACCTTTGTAGTATCATAGGAAAATGAGGCATCTACATATACATTTATGCAACATGCAGGGAAAAGACAAGACACGTGGGCAACCAGCCAGTCCACCCTGGCAAGGAGCTGGGGGCTGAGGTGAAACGTCAATTAAATTCTATTAGAGCAAATGACCCACTGGAGCACAAGTGCCTCCAGACTCCCTTCTCACTCCAGTGTCAGTGAGCTGATAAGAGGGACAGATGAAGAATTTCTCTTCTTCAATAGGTAATTACCTCCACTTGGCCTTGTTAACTAAAAATTTTTTTTTGAGTGAACATATCTGAAGGGTACATAAACCAATTAAGAGAATTTTCACACTACTGCTTAAGTTTAAATACTTTAAAAGTTATTTTTAACCTGTTCTTCACAAATAAAATATAATTGCTATTATCTTTTGGTTTGTATTTCCTTGAGTTTCTGCACATCTTATTTCTAGCTTTCGCTTCAATACAATACCAAATGCATTCATCTTTCTTTATGGACAGATTGTGATATATAGATTTTGTTTTTCAACTAGATATTTGCAAAAAAAAATAATGTTTACACTTAGTTTGCTTATATGGTGTGAAGATCTTCAGACTATAAGATCCTGAAGAGGATGACCTATGTGTTACACTACACTGTCAATATTAAACAGATTGTCAGAAAACAAAAAAATAGATATTACATAAGCATGGTAATGCTAGAGGGACAAATAATCATCTAATCAACTCAGTGAAAATTAAGTTTAAAATTTCTCTTTTGCTATTCAGAGGCAGCATTCTCCAAAATGTATTTTGACTAACAGAGATTACTTTAAAAACAGGTTCTGGGGCCAGTTAAATTTAAGAAATTCTTGGTAAGTCAAATTTACTCTTTACTGTCAAACATCTCAGAACTGTGCTTCTCATAACCTGCATTACAAATTACCACAAAGGGAATCAAGTAAAAAAGGCATTTGTTGGACATTTAATTTTATGTCTGATTCTTCTCAGTGTACCAGTCACTCCAGGTGAAATTCTTCTGCAGAAACTTAAATGATACAAAATAAAAGGAATATAATCAAGTCATGAAAACAAAGTTTTTCACATTATGGAAAAATGTAGAAAATAAGATTTATTTTTAACAAATATAAGCAAAATTCTATTAATGATTAGATTAAGTCATATATGATACATGAGCATCTCTTTTTAACTCATGAAGTTGTATAAATGCTCATGACTGCACAGTCAATCACTAAACTTTTTTCTGGCACTTTATCAATAAACTGTAACCTAGCTCTAGCCCACCATTTTGTACATGTATAATTACTGTTCATAAGGCAGATTATGGATATTAATGTGTGGTCAATACCAGTGACTCAGAAGCAAAAGTAACTGTCATTCATTTATTCATTGGCCTTTCATAGATTCCTTGGGAATTCACGTTTGGATACTGTTATTTGATAAGCCACTAAAAATTAAACATTGTCAATATCATATAACCATAAAAATACAGACTAAAGGTAACCAAAGCCTAAATCAAGAAGAAGCTGGATAATCCACAAAAATCATAGATTTTCTTTAAAAACCCATCAGATCTGAGGTACAAAGAGATCTGAACAAAATTTCACATAAAGAATTCCACATTTGGGGTCCCTTCCCCCCAAAATGAGATGACCTGCTTTCAGTTTTGACAGGAAGAAGAAGAATCCTCCCAAAATGGGGAGTAGGAATAAACCAGCTGAACTTTTACAGACTTGTAATAGCTGCTGATATCAAAGAGCAATGCCATACCCACCTGCCAGTTCTACAGAGCTTGCACCTAGTGTACAACCACCACACCCAAGAGGCAGAAGACAGAACAGAAGAGCTGAGAGAGCCTTCTGAATCACCTAGGCTTTGCCAAGTGCAAAGCAGCGGTCCACTGAAGGCTGGAAGCATAACAGAGCTGAGAGCCCAGGAGAAGCACTAAGCTGTCACCAAATGAAAAGGAGGATGGAGAGAGATCTGAAAGGACAAGGCAGAGTTCCAGAGCAAAGTTAGCTCCTGAACGACCCAAACAGTTAGCAACTGGGCCATTTCTGTCTCAGAAAAATGGAATATGGAAAACTACAACCCAAAAGAAGGCAGGAAAAGAGAAACAAAAGGACAAAGAACAACTGGGGTAAACAAAGCCCAAGATGGCAGATAAACCCAAACATATCAATAATTAAATGTAAAGGAACTAAATACTTCACTTTTTAAAGGAAAAAACTGTCAACAAGATAAAAGGCAAAAACCCAACTATGTTGTTTACAGGAAAAGCACTTTACATACAAAGATACAAGCAAGTTGAAAATAATGTGGGAAAATACATAAGTTGCACACCCTAATTATTAAGAATGCTGGTATGGCTATATTAGTATCTGATGATGTGGACTTCAAGGCAACTAGTGTAACTAGATATGAACAAAGTTATTTCATAATCATGAGAGATACCTCAAGAAAAAAATAAACAGAACTGAATTGTCTGAAGCAAAAATTGACAAATCAGTTAGTATATGGAATATAAGAATAACATCGTCAACTAACCTGATCTGACATTTTTTCCTTTTGAGATCAGGTAGGTTTCATTTACCTGAGGCTTCATTCTCTTAACATCATCATTTGAAAACTATGCTAAAAAAAAAAAAATAATAAACTCTGCCAGGATGGTAAGCGATCCTATACTCATTTGCCTAGCTGACTTGAATTGTTCATATCACTTAACTCCAGCTTAGAAGTTCTTTTCCAGAGTTACCATGGTTTAAGTACTGTCAATGGCTCTTGTACTAAAACTATTGGTGCCCCTGGTACTTTTGTTTTTTAAGTCAAGATATAATTCATGTATGATACAATTCATGTAAAGTATTTGTGATTCAGTGGTTTTTAATAGAGTCACAAGGTTGTGCAGCCATCGCCACAATCAGTTTTAGAACATGTTCATCCCACATCACCTGTGTTCCCAGTACCACCATCCCAACTCTAGGCTGCTACTAATCCACCTCCTATCTCTATAGATGTGCCTCATCTGGATATTTCATATAAAGGTGGTCATACAGTATGTGGTCTTTTGTGACTGGCTTCCTTCATTAGCATGTTTTCAAGTTTCAATCACGTTATAGCCATGAATCAGTACTTCATTCTTTTTTACTGCCAAATAACATTCCATTGAATAGACCACATTTGATTTACCCACCCAGTTTGATAGACAGTTTCCAGGTTTTGGCTGTTATGAATTAATACTGCTACAAACATTTCTGTACAGGATTTTGTATAGACACATTTTCATTTCTCGGGCATATACTGAAAAGTCAATATGGTACTATGTTTAATCATTTCAGAAACTGTCAGATTGTTTTCCAAAGCAACCATTTTACATTGTCACAAGAAATTAAGGGGTCCAGTTTCTCCACATCCAGACCATTTTTTTTGTAATCCTGGGTTTTTGTTTTGTTCTCCTATTATAGTCATTTTGATTGGGTACAGAGTAGTTATCTCTTAGTTTTCATTTGCATTTTTCTGATGTTGAATATCTTTTCATGTGTTTATTGGCTATTTGTGTATCTTTAGAGAAATGTCTATTCAGATCCTTGGCTCATTTTTTAAGTAGACTGTCTTTTTCACATTGAGTTGTATATGTTCTAGATTCAAGCGCTAATCAGATATCTGACTTGCAAATAAATATCTTCCATGCTGTGGGTTGTCTTTTCACTTTCTTGATGTTATCCTTTGATGCATAAACATTTTTAATTTTCATGAAATCCAGTTTATTGATTTTGTTCTTTCATTGCTTGTCATATCTGAGACACTATTGCCTAACTTCATGAGTCATGAAGACTCATGCCTATGCTTTTCTCTTTAGTGTTTTAGTTTTAACTTGTATATTTAGGTTTTGATCCATTGTGAGCCAATTTCTGTATGCTGTATAAAATACCAAGTGTATGCCATATTAGACATGACTGAAAATAACTGCATTTACGAGTAACAAGAGGAAGAGGAAATATCTCAATTAAAAGAGATGTAAGAAGCATATCATCCAAAAGGGAACTATACTTTATCTGTCTCTATCCCATGCCAGGCACACAGAAATATCTAGTGAACATTTGGTGGATTGAAAGCATCTCACTTGCAAAAGAAAAATGGGTAAAGGAACTCATTGCTATAATGTCCTCGGTATTGTATATTGGTATTATACAGGTGCTATGAGATTACAGAAAATGACATATATTATGTTAGATGAAAAAATCCAAGAATCTTTCTAGGAGAGAGGAGATTTGAGCTAAGGTTTGAAAGATATATAGGAGATAATCTCACAAACAAGGTACAGGGTAGGGAAATTAAAAGGAATGATATTCCAGGCAGAATGTCATTTCAGGACTGAGGCAGAAGATAGCCACAAAGCCTAAACAGCCAAGTCTGAGACAGCTCAAGCAACAGGCATAATCCAGACTGAGAAACCTCACAGGTCAAATAATCTAGTTTCCTCAACAATCAGTTACTATGGAGGAAAAAAGATGGGAGGAGGACCTGAGACTTAAAAAAGGCCTAAAGTTCATACTTTAAAAAGCAAAACTAAACTAGAATATTTAAGGATGCCTATCACTGATGAAACTATAAGAAATTCAAAGTATTTAGAAATCTGTGTACTTTATTGGAGAGGGTGGACACAGAGAGGCATCTGGGGTGGCTGGCAAAGTTCTGTTTTCTAACCTGAGTGGTGATTATAATAATGTTCACCTAGTAATAACCCATTCGTGTATGAATTTGTTTTATGTGATTTCCTGTATCTGCATTATATTTTACATTTTGAAAGTTCTTTAAAAAAAATTCTACAATAGAAAACCTTTCTAAATTGGACCTCTGAACCGTGATACAGCCCAGGTCTTTTCAACATACTTGAGACCACCAACCTATGTTCAGGTTTTGGATGCACAGAAGTCAACAATTTTGATTCTCATGACTTTCTAATGTTGATA